AAGATAGGACTGTTGGAGGAGGGGTGACATTTCTTAATCCGTGGTCAAAGAATGCATCAGGTGACTTGAGCAGAGCTAAAAGAGGTGAGGAGTGAGGTATGCACCTATCTGGGGAAAGAAAGTTCTAGGTAGTGAGGATTGTATGTGCAAAGGGCCTGGGGCAGGGAAAGTATGGAGGGTCGAGAAGCAGTGAGGGGTGTGGTTGGGGCAGAGTTAGCAGGCAGAATGGAAGGAGATGAGAGCAGGGAAAATTGTGTGGGGCCTTGTGTGCCACGGGGAGGACTTTGGCTTTTACTCTGAATGAGCTGTAGCTATGGAAGGTTCTTGAAGAGAGAAGAGCTGTGATCTGGCATGGGAGCACTCTGTCTGCAGGTGGGAAACAGAGTGTGGGAGTGGCGGTGAGAGCAGGAAGACCAAGAAGGAGGCTGCTGCAGTGAATCAGGTAGCAGACAGGGATGGACAAGATCAGGGTGCAGGCAGAGCAAGGAGGGAGGAGTGAGCAGATTCTGCATAAGTATTGGGAATTTTGTGCCTTGTAGTTTTATAATATTAATATTTAGCCTCATTTTCATTCCACAAAGCAAAACAAGTGCTACTATGAGAAATTACTAAAAACCTCCAGGAGAATGCACTGGTCTGTTCCATTCGTTGCTGTATCACCCAGTACCTAGAACAAGGCCTAGCCCAGAGTGAGTGCTTCATTTGGTTGTTCTCTCTCTCTCTCTCTGTCTCTCTCTCTCTCTCATACACACACACTGGCCAAGAATTTTCAGAGATTATGATTTTATTCATTTTAAAACTTTTTTTTAAAGTACGACATGCTTACAGAAAAGTGCATGCAACTGTACAGCTTTACGAGTTATCACAAAGGAAAGGACCCATACCACCGCCACCCAACCCACAAACAGAACATTACCAGTACTCTAAAAGCCCCCCTGTGACCCTTACGTCTCTTTCATTATGTACCCTGTTCCCACTTTGCTTTCTTCACTAAACATATCCTGGAGATCAGCACAGTACAGTGTATACAAATATGCCTTATTTTACTTTCATCTGCAGAGTTGTCCATCATGTAGATCAACTAGTCCCCTACTGATGGACATCTGAATTGTCTTTTTTTTTTTTAATTGCAGGGTTGTTGTGAAGCTCAGAAATACTATAGATGAATACCCTGACATATTGAATTATTCAACAATGTACATTTCTTTTTCTGTCAATTGCCTGTGTATATCCTCCACTCATTTTTTTTCCTAATCAGACTTATTGATTTGTAGGAGCTCTTTACATATTGTGGATATAACTCTTTACTAGGTATGTTGCAAATCTTTCCTCCAGGTTAATCATTGGCCATTTATTCATTCAACAAATATGTACTGAGCATCTACTATGTGCTATGTGCTGGGAATAAAGTGGTGAATGAGGCAGATGTAGTCTCTGCCTTTGAGTTACTTCTAATCGGGCAGAAATTCAAATAAAACTTATCTTAAAGTGTAATAAATGCTAGGAAGGAAAGAAGCAAGCAGGCAAGCGTCTGGGACAGAGGGTAACAGAGGGAATCCACTTTAAGTGAGGTGGCTGTGGAAGGCCTCCCTAAGGTAATAACATGTAAGCTGACATTTGAAGGATGAGAAGCAGCTAGTCATGTGGCAAGTGGAAAGAACAGCATATCGCAAAGGAGAGAAGTGGGAAAATTTGTCATGTTTACTACATTGAAAGATCAGGTTCCCGAATCATAATTGGCAAGGACAGTGATTGGAAATGAGTCAGAAGAGGTGGACAGGGGTCTTATAGGATGAGGTGAAGAATTTGATTTTATTGCAAGAGAAATTTATAGCCAATGGTCCCCCTTATACATTAAGAAGAGTCGAGGAACGGTGAGAATGTATTACAAAAGGGGAAGAGCAGATAGGAGGCTGTTGGCATTGTTAGCATGAATGAGGGTGATGGTTGCACCAGGTGGGTGTAAGAAAGGCAGAATTCAGGTATGCTTTGATACAACCCAACAGGATTTGTTGATGAACTGCGTGGGGGCCAACGGGAGGGAAGAATCAAGAACGATCCCTATTTTCTGAGTGCTACAGTGAGTATTGGCAGTGCTATTCACGGAGGTGGGGAAGGCCGTCATGGGAAGGGTGGGGGACAGGGTTGGAAAGTTCACATTTTGACTCGTGGATTGGATGGACGCATTAAATCCTCACTCCAACTCTCTGAGGTATGTACTTTCATGAACTCTGCTTTAAATATGATGCTGTTGGGGCACCTGGGTGGCTCAGTCGGTTAAGCATCTGAATGCTTAAGCATCTGAATGCAAACCCTTGGTTTGGCTCGGGTCATGATCTCAAGATCTTGAGATGGGAGCCCCAAATCATGCTCTGTGCTCAACAGGGAGTCTGCTTGAGATTCTCGCCTTCTCCCTTTCCCTCTCCCACTGCCCCTTCCCCTGATCACATGCTTTCTCTTAAATAGATACATACATACATACATACATACATACATAAGATGGTTTTGAGTGAATGTTTGAGTTCCTTCAAAATTCTTATGTTGGAACCTAATCCCCAATGTGACAGTATTTGGAGGTGGGGTCTTCGAGAGGTGATTAGTTCATGAGGGTGGAGCCCTCATGAATGAAATTAGTGCCTTTATAAAAAGGTCCCAAAGGGCCCCCTTGCCCCTCTGCAATGTGAGGACACAAGAGAAGACAGCCAACTATGAACCAGGGAGAGGGCTCTCGCCAGGCACCGAGTCCACTGGTGCCTTGATCTTGGACTTCGCAGCCTCCAGAACTGTGAGAAATAAATTTCTGCTGTTTATAAGTCATCCATTCTATGGTATTTTGTTATAACAGCTGCACAGACTAAGACATATGAGGAAGCTGAGTGGCAGAGAAATTAACTTGTTGGATTATAAATGATAAAGCTAGAATCTATTCATCCCTCTTTCCATTTTTGACTCCTTCCCTCCATCCAATTGTTCGTCTTCTCTTCATCTACTCTTTTAATTATCCCTGTCCTTATCTTCCCATTTCTCCACCCCATCCACCCATCCATGTCTCCTTCCTTTCTCCCTCCCTTTACTCTCCCTTCTACCCACCTATAATCCATCCACCCATCCATCCATCCACCCATAATCCATCCACCCATCCATCCACCCACCCATAATCCATCCATCCATCCATCCATCCACCCATAATCCATCCATCCATCCATCCACCTACCCATAATCCATCCATCCATCCATCCA